CGTTCTGACCGCGTTTTTGGCGTCGATGGCATGGGCCCGAGAACGCCGGAAATCGTCGTTGTGGCCACAGCGGGGCTTACAGCGGCACCCGTGGCTCATCTGCGACTAGAACCTAACCGCGCGCGTAGCGCACGCGTGGTTCTAGTGTGTGTATACATACACATGTACATACATTTATACATTAACATACATATACAGGTGTAAACATTCACATATATATATGTATATATATATATATATGTGTGTGTATCTATGCATGCATGCATGTATGTATGCGTAGATCTTCATATATCCCGATTCATATATTTCAATTACCCAGATTCCCCCCCCACACACACACCCCTAAACCAGACCCCCTCTTCCAATGATGCCCCGGACACCCTTTCGGACGTCTCGGCGGCCCCCGGGACGCCGTTGGAAAACGTCAGTTGGCCTTTCTGGGCCTCCCAGGGCGCATTGCCGGGCCTTGCGAGCAGATTCGACGTGATCACAGGGGTCATGGGATAGGCGCAAGAGAGCACCAATACAGCACAATAGCGCTCCAAAAGGAACCTCGATGGTCCGAAGACCGCCCACGAGGCCCCCAAAACGCCCCAAGAGGCCGTTAAGAGAGCCCCGAAGAAGCAAAATCCTTCCCATTCCCGAGGGAAAATGTATGTATTTCGCATCACAGTTTTTACCTAACAGCAAAGACTGATAGGTTTCGAGTGGTCTCAAAAGAGAGCATCATGACTCCCCAGGGGGGTCTGGGCAGATGCCGGACGGGTGCCGCGGGAATCCGGGGACTTCTTTTTTAGCCAACAGTAACGCACTTCGTGGTCTTCGAGTTCCCAGAACTCCATTCCTGGGCATGATTTTGAATGCCCGGAGCCAACCGTAGGCCACTTCGTGTTCTTCGAGTTCCCAGAATTCCACTCCTGGGCATGATTTTGAATGCCCGGAGCCAACTGTAGGCCACTTCGTGGTCTTCGAGTTCCCAGAGTTCAATTCCTGGGCATGATTTTGAATGCCCGGAGCCAACTCTAGGCCACTTCGTGGTCTTCGAGTTCCCAGAACTCCATTCCTGGGCATGATTTTGAATGCCCGGAGCCAACTGTAGGCCACTTCGTGTTCTTCGAGTTCCCAGAACTCCATTCCCGGGCCACATTTTGAATGCTGAGGCAGGCTGAGGCTGAGGCTGAGGCAGGCTGAGGCTGAGGCAGGCTGAGGCTGAGGCCGAGGCTGAAGGCAGACTGAGGCTGAGGCTGAAGCAGGCTGAGGCTGAGGCTGAGGCAGGCTGAGGCTGAGGCTGAGGCAGGCTGATGCTGAGGCAGGCTGAGGCTGAGGCTGAGGCTGATGCAGGCTGAGGCTGAGGCAGGCTGAGGCTGAGGCCGAGGCTGAAGGCAGACTGAGGCTGAGGCAGGCTGATGCTGAGGCAGGCTGAGGCTGAGGCTGAGGCTGATGCAGGCTGAGGCTGAGGCAGGGCCTGAGGCTGAGGCTGGAGGCAGACTGAGGCTGAGGCTGAAGCAGGCTGAGGCTGAGGCTGAGGCAGGCTGAGGCTGAGGCTGAGGCAGGCTGAGGCTGAGGCAGGCTGAGGCTGAGGCTGAGGCTGATGCAGGCTGAGGCTGAGGCAGGCTGAGGCTGAGGCCGAGGCTGAAGGCAGACTGAGGCTGAGGCTGAAGCAGGCTGAGGCTGAGGCTGAGGCAGGCTGAGGCTGAGGCTGAGGCAGGCTGATGCTGAGGCAGGCTGAGGCTGAGGCTGAGGCTGATGCAGGCTGAGGCTGAGGCAGGCTGAGGCTGAGGCCGAGGCTGAAGGCAGACTGAGGCTGAGGCTGAAGCAGGCTGAGGCTGAGGCTGAGGCAGGCTGAGGCTGAGGCTGAGGCAGGCTGGCTGAGGCAGGCTGAGGCTGAGGCTGAGGCTGATGCAGGCTGAGGCTGAGGCAGGCTGAGGCTGAGGCCGAGGCTGAAGGACTGAGGCTGAGGCTGAAGCAGGCTGAGGCTGAGGCTGAGGCAGGCTGAGGCTGAGGCAGGCTGAGGCTGAGGCTGAGGCTGAGGCAGGCTGAGGCTGAGGCTGAGGCTGAGGCTGAGGCTGCAGGCTGAGGCTGAGGCTGAGGCTGAGGCTGGCAGGCTGAGGCTGAGGCTGAGGCAGGCTGAGGCTGAGGCTGAGGCTGAGGCTGAGGCTGAGGCTGAGGCTGAGGCTGAGGCTGAGGCAGGCTGAGGCTGAGGCAGGCTGAGGCTGAGGCTGAGGCTGAGGCTGAGGCTGAGGCTGAGGCTGAGGCTGAGGCTGAGGCTGAGGCTGCAGGCTGAGGCTGAGGCTGAGGCAGGCTGAGGCTGAGGCTGAGGCAGGCTGATGCTGAGGCAGGCTGAGGCTGAGGCTGATGCAGGCTGAGGCTGAGGCAGGCTGAGGCTGAGGCCGAGGCTGAAGGCAGACTGAGGCTGAGGCTGAAGCAGGCTGAGGCTGAGGCTGAGGCAGGCTGAGGCTGAGGCAGGCTGAGGCTGAGGCTGAGGCAGGCTGAGGCTGAGGCTGTGACTGCGACTGCCGTTGCCACTGCGACTGTCATCGCGAATGCGACTACGACTGCGAGAACAGCAGAATTCTACAACTGGATTCTCATCTGAATCTTAAGGGGAATGCTTCCAGATATGCTCCTACACATCGCTGTTAGGTTGCTTTGCCGAGATACTTGTTTCGTTTTCGCAGCGTCCAAGACGGCCCGATGGGCCCCCGATACCGCCCCAACACGGCCCAAGAGGCCCCCCCAGGGGGTTTGAAGACGGCCCGAAAGGGCCCCAAGAATGCCCCAGAGAGCCCCGAGACTGCCCACAAGAGACCCACGATGCCCCCAGAAGGCTCCCAAGAGAGACCCACGAAAGCCATGGGGGACCCCTGAGAAGGCCACTGGAAACCCCCAAGAAGGCCATAAATGGTTCAGAAGACCTCTGGAGGGCCCCAGCTCCCCAAAACGGCCCAAGAAGGCCCCAGGGCTGCCCAGGGGGGCCCCAGGACGGCCGAAAAGAGCCCCCCCAAGGCCCAGACGGCGTTATCTGTGCGGTTGTTGTCTCTCTCTCTCTCTCTCTCTCTCTCTATATATATATCCCTTCACCCCAGGTGGCTCTTCGTCGACCTCCACGTTCGTGGCATCCGATGGCCATCCTCATTCGCCCGCTCCTTCCTCTGGACCTTCTTCCCATTTCTCGCCCCCTTCTCCCCCCTCCCGCCTCTTCAGTCCCCCCCATCATCCCTGCTCCCTTCCCGTTCCCCGTTCACGGACAGGTGCCATCGCAACAGTTTGATGTTTCGTCGTTTGCCAGCACCTTCGCGCGCCAAAAAAAAAACACATCATTCCTTCCCCTTTCCTGCGCACGCGCGTGCAAGCGCATCGGGCGAGTGCGGTGTCAGCAAGCCCCAGGGACATCATACAAATGAGCCGACCGCCCGTCCAAGCCTCGAGGTCCCCCCTGCCGAAGCAAACGACGATCTATTGGTTTGCAGGGGAAGCGTCCGGAACAAGGCGCATGGCGCGAAACGCCAACGCACTCTTGTATATAGTTAAATGTGTATGTATATGTACATATACGTGTATATACATATGTGTGTATATGTGTATGTGTGTATGTGTGTATGGAACGGCTAATGTCGTGGTATATTGGCTGCGCGAACTTCCGATTCCCCTTGCAAGGCACATTCGCGCACAGGGACAACGTTTTACAAGGGGGTGCGTGGCCACGTGCTAAGTTCTGCGATGTCCACGGGGGCCTCCAGTTATGGTCACGTGCGGACAGGGCACAGCAACCTTCGCACAAACTCCTAGCATATGGATGTTGACATGCGCGTTGGCCTCTTGAAAGCACTACTTGGGAATTTTGCGCCGTATATGACTTCAGCAGCTCGTTCCAGGCGCTGGATGCCAACAGTATCTCACAAACATCGGCCATAAGCATTGTCCCAGGGTGCAGGGCTTTCAGGGCCATGTCGCCTTCGTTGCCCGTACTGGATAGCTTCGATTTCGGATTCGACGTCCGTTGTGCTCGTCCTTCCACAACGCAGGGAATTGTTAGATCCAGGCGACACTAGACGTGTTTTTTTCCTATTCCTCCTCCTCCTCCTCCTCCTCCTCCTCCTTCCCCTCCTCCTCCACTTTCGTATTGGACCCCCCCCGTCAGTATGGACCACGGCCGCCACTATCGGATCATCGCCGATGTCGTCGGCAGGCTGATTTCTATTGGGGGGAATGCGGCGCTTGTTGATTTCGTCATATTCTCTTCAGAATATGGGCTGGGGTGCGCGTGCATAGAAGAGTTCGAATGCCTGCGGTGTTTATCGCGTCCAGATTTGGCCAGAAAGCGCGACGCGCGCAATTTTAAGTGTTGGTTTCCCTGGATGGGGGCTCACCAGGGGTGGGGAAACAGGTTGTACGACATGTGAAAGACTCACCAGATGCCCCATCATTTCTCGAGACACGTTTGGGATGTCTACTTCATCCTACCCTTGTATGTGCCCCATCCGTTTACGTGGCAGACTGCTACAATCCATGACGGTCGCCCTCGGGTCCGATCGAAGACTCCACTGGACCAGGGAGGGAGAGGTGATGAAGGCTTGCGCACGGGCGCGACTCGCCCTGGATGCGGAAGGGGGCACGCCTTCCCTGCGGCCAGAAAGCTGCACCTCTCTGGCTGCCGTGCTGCTCTTCGCAGACACGAGCCAGGCCCTTTGTGGGCCCTGGAAACGGCAGGGCCGTTTTTTACCGTTTCCCAAAAAAGTGCCCCTTGAAAATGGAAACGGCAAAACAACGGCGACCGGAAACGGCAACAAAACGGCTCCGGGATTGGAACCGGAGCCGGAACCGGCCCAACAAACGGCGACGGAACCGGAATACCAAAACAGCGTCGGAACCGGCAACAGCACGGCGCCGGATCCGGTTTCCAGGGCCCACGAAGGCCAGGCCCCACGGCTGCGCCGTGGACCCTCCGGCCCGAGGCCCCTCCGGCCCCGCCCCTCCGCCGTTCCCCCTGCGGGGCGCGCATGCCGCGGCGCCCCTGCGAGCCCGACGGCTCCCCAGGGGGCAGGCGCACGGCGGCGGCCTGTGCAGAGCCCGCTCGGCTGGGCACGCCGCCTCGCCGGGAGCGCGCAGGCACGGCGCCGCTCGCGGGGGAGGAGCGCGGCAGGTTCGCGCCGCGTCGACGCGGCGGCGACCCCGGCGCGGGCGGTCGAGGCTGAGCGTAAGTCGGGCCTGTCCCTCTCTGGGGGGAATATATTTTCAAAATAGTCCAACACAAATAGTCTGGGGACTCGGTTTGGAAGATGTTTTACCATTTGGGGGCATTTTGTGGGGTCTTTTTTATATTTGTTCCTCCAAAATCCCCTTGTAGGGGGACATGCCCGACCTAAGGCTGAGCGCCGCCAGCGGCCCAGAATCGTCCGATCTCGGACGATCAGCGCTGTCGGAAAGCCGCGGCCGTTCCAAGGTTGAACGATCCCCACGGTGATAGGAACCAGCGCCGGCGTCATCGAGACGTGAGCCTGCCGCAGGGGGGAGGAGGAATAAAGCATGATTGAGTAATAAAGCCGGCATGAGCATCGGAGGCTGGAGGGTGAGATCGAAGTGGAATGGAGAGCCCCCCACCAGGAAATCGGTTTCAGTTTCGTGCTCGTGTCGTGCGTGCGGGGCACGGGCGAGGCGAAGCTGCGTGGGGGGGCGAGAGGAATGAACCCTCGATTGCTAGGGCGCCGCCAGGACGGAAGTCCGCCCGCCCCCCTGGCCGCGTGGCACGCCTTAAGGGTGTCCCGCCGTGGTGTCTTGTGGTGTCCTTTGGTGTCCCGTGGTGTCCCGTGATGTCCCGATCGGTGTCTCGATCGGTGTCCTGGTGGTGTCCTGATGTTGTTCTGGTGGTGTCCTGATTGGTGTCCCGATTGGTGTCCCGATGATGTCCTGGTGTTGTCCCGATGGTGTCCCCGTGGTGTCCCGATGTGTGTCCCAATTGGTGTCCCGATAGTGTTCCGATGGTGTCCGCGTGGTGTCCAGGTGGAAGAGTGTCCCGGTGATGTCCCGATGGTGTCCTGGTGGTGTCCCCAGTTGTGTCCTGATTGGTGTCCCGATGGTGTGCTGTTGGTGTCCTTGTGCGTCCCAGTGGTGTCCCGACGGTGTCCCGCGACGGTGCCCCGATGGTGTTCCGATGGTTGGCGAAATGATTATACGGATGGTTGTCCCGATAATTGTCTCGATGGTTGCCCCGATGGTTTTCCCGATGGTGTTCCGAGGGTGTCTTGGTGGTGCCCGGACGGTGCCCCGAAGGTGCCCAGAGCTGCCGTGGTGCGCCACCATCACCACCATTACCACCAGCACCACTACCACCACTGCCATCACCACCACCACGAGCGGCCTCGGATTGGACCGTGTTTGCGCGGAGCCAATGAAAAAGACGGAGGAAGGGAGCAGGAGCTAACACTGCAACCGCAACTGTCTGGCTCGATCAGGCACTTCGCACGACCCGCCCCTTCGCGCTGCCATGTCCGCGGGCGGCGGGCGCCTCTTCGCCAGCGCCCTCCCCGTGCCTCCCCGGCGCCAGGCTTTGCTGGCGCTCGTGCGCCAGGCTCTGCCAGCGCCGTTGGGGCATGCAGGGGGTCGCGCCTGGAGGCCCAGCGCTTCGGGTACAGTGCGCACGCCTCTGCGGGATTCGTGGAGCTCGCTCCAGAACGTGCACCGACGGGCGAAGCGTTCCACGAGGCCCTGCGCCGCGTGCCCTCAGTGGCGTGCGTGGCGTGGCAGCTGTCCAAATCTGCTTACGGCAACGTCAGGAGACACATCATGGAGCAGAATGTGCTGGTCTACGTGGGCGGGTTCCCAGAAAACCGTTCGAGTTCGAGCCCGCCCGCAGCCAGCACCAGAAGGCGATGGAAGGGCGGAACTGGACCGCCGCAGCTTGCTTCAAGCCCCCGCCGCAGGGCCTGGAAGCAGACATTGCGCATCCTGTTGCATGCCGCTCGCGGGAGGGAGCGTCTGCCCGAGCATGCGCGCCAGGGCTGCCAGCGCGCGTTTTTGGCCAGGCTCGGGTCAGGGGTGCCTGCAGACCTGCTGCTGGGGAAACGGACGGAGCGGAACTGGCAACCAGAGCCCCCCTGCACGGAGCAGCAGGGTCGAGCACAGGAACGGGAGTTGTCGTGAGGGTCGAGTCTCGGCACGACGACCTTCGCGATTTGCACCAAGCGGCCGGTGACTTTCGCCACGTGCGTCGGGCACTGCACCACTGCGCTGGGGCGAGGACGATGCTGGCGCAAACTTTTTGGAATGTGCCCACCGTCTGGCATCGGGCTCACGAATGGGGCCCAGGGCGCGGTCGTGGCCATCCTTTTCGCCCCCACGGACGGGAAGCGAACTGGCAGCTGCGTCCTCGCCGGCACCGGGCGCCCCAGTTCCACGCCGGCAGCGTTCCCCTGTGGGGGGGGGGCCTTGGCCGCGGAGTCCGTGGTCGTGCACCTCCCAGACTACCAGGGCCCAACAAAACGACGCGAAGATCGGGGCAAAATCGGATCGGGATGACTCGAAATCTCTGAGAATCGGCGGGTTTGGAGGATGTACTGGGCGCCGCGGCCGCTCCAGAGCGTTCCGGAACGCTCTGAGAGCGCTCCGGAACGCTCTGGAGCGATTTATCCCGATCCTAGCCCTGTTTTGCCCAACTTGTTTCCAATTTGCCCAAGACTCGGGCGCCGATCCCCTGCGCCGAGGTGCAACGTAAAACTCGGCAGTCCCTGGCTCGGGCGAGTGTGCCGTTGCGCTTGGCTTGGGCCCCCCATCATCCACAAACCACAAGGCATCGCAACGCACGAGGGGGGCATCGTCTCTGTCGACGGTCGCCGTGGATGCGCGCCGGCGGCGAGTCCGAGGCCCAGCCCCCGCCATCGAACATTTAGGAGTATCTTGCCCCATTAATTCCCAGGTCGTCTCTTGACTCGGAGGTGGTGCAATCCCTTTCTTGATCTTCTTTGCAAGCGAGTTCTTCTTTGCCCGTTTCTGGATCTTCTTTCGCAAGTCCCCGTTGGCTTTGCGAGCGGGCGCCATGGCACTTCGACCAAGTTGGGCGTCGGATAGAACGGCCGCCGCTGCGCGCATTCCTCTCCCTGGGCCATGCGGCGGAGGGTCGACGAAGGTTTCCCCAGAGCGAAAGCGGGACGGAAGAAAATGCAAACGAAAGTTTCAGAACATAATGCATCTGTCTACATAGATGTGTATCAAACATTTGTTTTCGCTCGGATACGAACATTTTTCTGATTATTTGCCTGCGTAACGAATTGTATTTGTTGCTGTTGATACGAATGGCGCGGGCGTTGTTAAGCCCGTATTCATATGCATTTATGTATGTCGATCCTCCGTTGAGCATCTGTCTTCAGTCGTCTCCCTCCTCTTCCTCTTCCTGCTGTCAGCCCCCTGCAGTTCTTGGCGTTCCTCGCTATTACTCCACCCGTCACCCTCCCCATGTTGACTCATATCTCTTCCTCGGCTTCTGCCTGATTCCTTCGATTCCCCCCCTCCCCCCCCCAGTCTCCCTCATTGACAGGGGTCCTGTGGAAATCGGTTACGAAAGGAATCCTATTGAAATCGGCTACAAAAGGAATCATATTGAGATCGGCTGCGAAGGGAATCCCATTCAAAACCCTTAGAAAAGAATTCTTATTGAAATCGTTTCCAAAAGGGACATGATTGACATCAGCTACAGAAGGACTCTTATTTAGATACTCACACAACGAATCCTGTTGAAATCGGCTACACAATGAATCCTACTGGAATCGGCTACAAAAGGACTCCAATTGAAATCCCGCACAAAAGGAATCCTATTGAAATCGGCTACAAGAGGAATCCCATTGAAATCGGTTGCACAAGGAATCCTAGTGACATCCTCAACGAAAGGAACCCTGTTGAAATCGGCTACAAAAGGAATCCTATTGAAACCTGCTGCAGAGGGAATCCGATTGACATCGGCTGCAAAAGTAATCCTATCGAAATCCCCCACAAAGGGAATCCGATTGAAATCGGCTACAAAAGCAGTCCTTTTGAAGTTCCGAACGAAGGGCTCCCATTGGCATCGGCTACAAACGGAGTCTTAGTGAAACCCGACGCAAAAGGAATCCCATTGACATCGGCGGCGAAAAGAACCATTTGAAATTCTTCAAAAAAAAATAAGGTGGAAGAGGAGGAGGAGGAGGAGGAGTAGGACAGACATGCGGAGGAGGAGGAGGTGCAGGAGGCTTCACAAAAGGAAAAGGAAGAGGATAATCTCAGACGCCCAACGCAATCCCTGTGAAAACGCAGGGCTCGCGACACCACAGGTACGGAAACCTTGTGATTTCATTTGGAAGTTTGGGATTTCTGATAGGAGAATCAAGGACACATTGTGTGTTTCATTAGTTTTTTTTGTTTTTGTGATTTTCACCCTCCAGACAAAATCAATCCAAGAGCCTCCGAAAATTCAGAACCTGGGAAATTCCAAAAATCCAAATGAAAACATTAGGTTTGACGTCGCAAGCCCTGTTTGTTTTTTGGGATGTTTCGGCTTTCTGTGATTTCTCAGGCTCTGAAGCTGCGGAGGCTCTTGGATTGTGTCTGGACGGTGAAAACTAAAAAAATCCAAATGAAAACACATGGTTTCTTGATTGTCATCCCAAAACAATGAAAATACAGGGCTTGGCGGCCCCTGACGTCGCGACATTGTGAATCCACAGGGGTCGCTGCTCCCTCGCCCCCCATGTGAAGCTTCGGAGGCTCCTGGGTTGTGTCTGGGAGGTGAAAATTGCAGAAATCAAGAAAGTCCAAATGAAAACACCAGGTTTCCTTAATTTTCACACCAGAAATCAAAAACATCCAAATGAAAACACAGGGTTTGGCGGCCCCTGACGTCGCAAACCTGGTGATTCCACAGGGATCGCTGCTCCCTCACCCTCCATCCCTTCCCCCTCTCCTCCCCGAGTGCGCATGTTGGTGGGTAGGACCTTCAGGCCGAGTTCCTCCTTCGCGGAGGACGGCGTTCTTTCGCAGCCCACAGTGCCCTCTGGCAGATCGCGCGCCGCGCCACTCTCGGAGTTGAAGAGTTCGCATTCGACTTGACGCCGCCGCGGGATCTGGGGGCCTCGTCGCCGCGG